CCACCGTCGCCGTCTCTTTCCAGCAGCAGATCATTTGACAGTCAACTCTAGAACTGGTGCATAGTTTCCACTTTTGCACTGACGCGCTTTTATTGTGGTGAGCAGAGCAACACTGAGGCTTGCACTGGGGCATCGTTGCTTCACTCGGCTAATCTTGCATCCATTAGCTTTAATTAGTTTGTTTGCCTCATAGAAACTCAGACTCATGAGATTTATTGTTTTCAGGGGAAATTAGACGTGATTATGCTAAACGTCCCTGACCTGCTGCTGTTTGTCGAGGATGATGATGATGATCCCTGTGTTTGTGTTGCGTTCAAGTGGCGGGTCACTGCTTCCAGCTGATTTATAGGATTTTTGATGATTTTTTTTTCTGTTTAATTGTCAGCTGTGTGAACTAATCTGTTAATCTTTGTTATTCTGTGAGTAGATGGTTCATTTCTAGTCTGATATTCAGCTTGGAGTTATGTGACCCACTACATTACTCGTCAGTAACTCTGTGGTTAGCGTTAACCTGATGTGTTCGTTTGTGCAGGTGACCCAAAGGATTGTTTTTTATAAAATGTAGACACTGTTAATCTGACGGTCACGATCAGATTAAAAAAGGTTCGTCCAGATGTATGAAAAATGTATAAAAGTAATCAGAGTTATTTCTGAGTAAACAAAGTCTGAACCTTTCTTAAAGGACGCATATCCAACCAACCAACCATCCATCCATCCAACCAACCAACCATCCATCCATCCAACCAACCAACCATCCAACCAACCATCCATCCATCCATCCATCCATCCAACCAACCATCCATCCATTATCTTTACCTGCTTCTTCCTTTTTGGATCATGGGGGTCACTGGTGCCCATATCCAGCAGTCACTGTGCAAGAGGCGGGGGACACCCTGGACATGTCTCCAGTCCATCACAGAGACACATAGAGACAATCACTCTCACCTTGGGACAATTTAGAGTTACCAGTCAGCCTAACATGCACGTTTTTGGTCTGTGGGAGGAAACCTGAGCACCCGGAGAAAACATGCAAACTCCACCCAGCGAGGCCCTGGGCTTGGATTTGAACCAGCAACCTTCTCTCTGAGAGGCAACAGCTCTACTAACTGAGCCACCGTGCCGCTCTGTAATGCATCCGCTGCATGTCACGGCAAAGTTAAAGTCTAAGGTCGTCTTCGGATGAAACACGGCAAAGTCGCATGAATTTTGTTCAAACCTTAAATTTGACATTTTAAGAGAACTCATAACATTTTGTGAAACGTCACGCTCAAAGTGCGTGTTGTGGACGACTCTGACGCTCGGTGTTTTTCTAAACGGGGTTGGGTTAACGCAAAACGTTAACAGCTGTAGATGTCCAGAAAAGTTTTGTTAAAATCTGTGCGGTGTTTCACGAGACGTTTTTCTAACAAACCGACATGGCTGACATGATGCCGACGTCGTAAACAAAGGTAGTTTAATTTGTAGTGCTCAGAATTGTCAAACAGACGACACAACGGAGAGTTTAGAGAGTTAGGATGTAATATCGGATCAACACGCTGAAGATGGTACATCTCTTTACCTGACAGGAAGTGCTTCCCCTTTTTATACATCGGGTACAAATATCTGACTTATGGTGTCAAATACTTTTATTTATTTATGAAATTAATCATCCTGTGAAACCCAGACGACACTTGATGGCAAGAATGTTCACGTCAAACTATTAATGTAAAACTTTTTAAACCGGCTTTGAGTCTGACACAAGCAGGATAAAGCTGACAGATGTAGAACAACCAGTAAAATAGCTCTGTTCTGGTTTAGGTTATAATTTCTCAAAAGCTTCATATATTTGATTAATAGAAAATATACATTTAAAAAATCTCCAGTCTGGAAAGCTTATTTAAACTTATTTTTCTCTACAGATTTTGATGCGTGTTGACGAGCGGTTCAAAGGGAGCAGGAAATCTGTTTTTCAGATGTTCTGGAGGAGCATAAAGGGCTGACAAATACAAGCCCATGATTTATGTCCCTCCGATGGTCTCCTGAGAACTGGGAAGGTGAAATGATTATGAATAATACAGGAGGTCATAAAACAAATGAGCCTCTGAACGAGTCGATATGAAAAATGACCCTAATTTTATTTCTTTGTGTGTGCCGATTTTCAACAAAAAGATTTGTAAAATAATAAAAATTAAGACCATTTTTCTTGCAGTTAAAAAAAACAAACAAATTCTTAGAATAAAAATATAAATGATGGATTTATTCTCTATAGATTCAAATTGTAATTATGGGACTTTGTTGTTGATAAGATGACATAAAAGCTCTTTTTGTTGCTTTATTAACATTTTGAAAAGTCAAAAAATGCCTAATTAGCATTTAAATATTTTATAATTTAGCCTATTTTGTGGTGAAGCTTGACTTGCAACAACTGGGTTGTTATTAACTGCACAAAGCCAGTTTAGATGCACGTTCTTTCACTGAGTTTTTATTAATAAATTATACAACACTGCGCTGCATTCACAGCAGGTGATAAGAAACGAGACGGTTTATGAGTTTTTACTGACCTGCATCTTCTGTCTTTGACCTCAGGCACGTGTCTCTGCCTGTCTCTGAGCGGTCAGAGACGTCCCTCAGACGTCTTCACGTCGTCTGTCCTTCTTGTGAGGCTTTGCAGCGTGTGAGAGATAAATGGAAGGAGGGCAGTCTATCAGTGGGATTGTTTTATATGTCGATACAACCAACTTAATACAGACCAATATTTAGTGTACAGAGTATCAACTGGTATTTATTTAAATCCAGAATAGAATTCAAAATCTTACTTCTAACCTACAAAGCCCTCAACAACCTAGCTCCATCTTATATTCAAGATCTTATTGTTCCATATTTTCCCAACAGAGCACTTCGCTCTCAGACTGCAGTGAAATGCAGCTGGTTTGGCCGTTAACGTGCATTTATTAAGGAAAAGTTCAAGTGAGACGCACCTTCGCTATAATGCCAAGCAAACAAATAATTGTTTTTAAGTGTTAATCTGGTTTATTTCTTGTTAGAGTCCTCCCGTGCACGCTTCCACGGCCGCCATTTGGCAGCCAATCGATTTTTTTTTTTGGCACAACACCGGCCCACATTTCCAGGTTGTCAGCGGTGACGCGTAACAAATGCAACGCATCAGCGGCGGGTGACATAATAATAAATGTGACGTTTACGGCGAAGCGACCATTTATGGATTTTTCCACGTCATTAGACATATTTGGACTGATGCGACTTATACGGCGGTGAAACGTTTACGGCGAAAAGTACGATATATATGTTTCTTGCTAGCGCAGCTCATACCCCTTTGTTTGAAGGGCACCGATTGTCAGATTACCCCCCACCCCCATATCACAATAACACTTTGGCCAACCCTTCACTCTCGGTGTAAAAATACAAACTCTGCTGGGATTCTTTCATGTTTATGACTCGGTTTCTTCAGAGACTCGAACTGTCTGACTGTTTCACGCCCATTAGTAGAGAGGAGTATCTCTGCACGACTGTGTCCCTTTTATATTTAGACAGGGCTCGTTACATTGAGCTGAAACAGGTCCTGAAATTACGCGTGGTCCAGATCAGGCGAGAAGAGCCATTTTCAGCTCAGGTTATCATTATTCTTTGGCCGGTTGTCAGAGAACAGCCACGGTTCTCAGAACCCTCTCCAGCGATGCCTCCGCTCGTGTTCTGACTGCAGAGCGGAGCAGGACCGTTATCCAGGGGGTGATAAGTCTCACAGGCTCCTGGCCTTATATGGACAGAGTTTGAACCTTGGCTGCTGAGTGAGCTTAGCTGGATACAACTGTTCATGGGTTACAGGTCAGAGTCATCCATGAACCCTCACTGATCCATGCCATGCCTTGAAAACTCAAAGTAAAGTAAATATGTATATTAGTACGTGCATATGTCCATATGTAGCATGAGAAGCTCAGCTGTGATACTTAATCAAACATTTTTAGAAGAACATGGTATTGGATACAAGGGAACCACCAAGGTGGGGTGGGGTTCTGCATGGTGGGCACTGGCCCCCCCTAAAGAATTGGTGGCCCACCTTGGCCAGACGTTTTGATCTTTTTTGCTTTTGAGTTCATTTTTAATTTCACCTAGATTTTAAGATTAATTGAACCTCATGAACACAAAAACAAACGTTAATTTTGAGCAACCAGGAAATGAAAATATAAATATACTGTATATCTTATTTAAATAATATTAAATAAAAAAAACTCCCCCACTGAATCCACACAACCGATCTAAAATCAAAGTACAGCTGTTACTGTATCAGGAGACACGCTGCGCATTTTAAAATAATTTAAATCTTTACTGATTCACCAGGGGCGAGTTTAGGATCTGACCTTTAGGGGGTGCTTAGCCCCCAGTTCTGACAATGGCTCTTGGCTTGAACAACTGATGCCCATATCCAGCCATCACTGTGTGAGAGGCGGGCAACACCCTGGACATGTCTCCAGTCCATCACAGGGACACATAGACAAACGAGACAAACTACCATTCACTCTCTCTCTCCTAGGGACAATTTAAAATTACCAGTCAGTGTAACGTGCATGTTTTTGGTCTGTGGGAGGAAACTGGAGTACCTGGAGAAAACCCACACATGCACAGAAAGAACATGCAAACTCCACCCAGAATGGTCCTGGGGTGGGATTTGAACCGACAACCTTCTCACTTAGAGGCGGCAGCTCTACCGACTGCGCCACCGTGCCGCCCAAGGATCCGACTTGTGCCATAAAAATATATTTTACCAACCTGTTTAGGACTCATCATTTATTCCATGTTTATTTAAAATTTAGTCAATATTCGGGGAATCTAAGATTTAAGACCTGGGCGTCCTTACAAAATCCTAATGATGGTTTCTTAAATTTTCAGGGGTGTTGAGTTAAAATTTAGTGGTGATTGAGCACCCCCAAAAAGAAGCTAAAATCCCCCCTGCCATTCATCCGTTAAGATTTACGGTTTGTAACGCATAAAGTAAAAATATTCTGCAGTTCCATGAAAGCCTCCTGCTGCAGAGCTCATTGAAGGTCCTCAAGGACTCGGAGAACGACGACTCGCTGAGTCCTGACTCTACAACTCGTAAAGACCCGACCTTCACCATCACGACGCGTGACGGACACCAGGAGTAACAATAAGAAACGCTTCACGTCCGTCTAACGTCACAAGATGTTGCATATTGATCTGATCTTCACAGTCTTGGTCAATAAGAAACACTTTGATCTGTAACAGAAGTTCTGTTGTTGAACGGATGCAACATTTCATGATTAAATACAAGTTGTTAAAGGAGGAAGGTGAAAATCGTTATTGCCAAGACTTTATTAATAACCATCCTGCACAACTTGTTCCCTTTACTTCACTTTTATTTGTTTTCCACACCCACATCTTTTTATTTAAACATGATAATTTATCAGAAATGGATATTTATTTAAAGAAGCCATAGTTCTTGAACTTAGGCCTGCCACGATAACAAATTGTGCTGGGCGATTAATTGTCTCAGAAATTATTGCGATAAACGATATTATTGTTTGAAATTTGACAATATTTAGTAATTATTGTCAAATTTAAGAAGAAATGTTGATTTGTTTTGCATGTAGTACCTTTTTTTGACAACCAGATGGCAGTATAAGACTGTTTGAACTGAAGGATGGATAGTGAGGGAGCGAGCAGCGTGTCTCTTTAAGAAAAATGGGATTGCAGCTTCTTGACGTGACATGGGCTGTCTCTACTTCCTTTATTCGGTTCTCAAAATGGTGGACGCTCGGTGTGGTTTGAGCTTTTTTACATAGGCTCAGGTTTCGATCGTGCATTTTGGAGCTTCGACAAGACGGAGGTTTTTTCCCCGAGGTCAGCCTGTTAGCTTAGCTCATAGCTTAGCTTCTCAGCTTAGCTGTTTTTAACGATCCAAAAACACGATTTTGACGATTAAAACAGATTTTAAAGAGAAAAGAGAAAGGGAGGGGTCAGCGAAGAGCCGGAGTTGAGCTTTTTCTCATCCAGTGTCTTCAGTAGAAAGAGAGACACGAAGAAACGATAAAGCCGATAAATGAAAATGAGGTCGATAATTTTCATTTATCATGCGATTAATTGATTTATCGTTTATCGCGATAGGCTTACTTGAACTTTTTAGTTTGATAAATATCTAGATTTTGACATCAAATGACAAAATTAACAATTAAAAAAACAATCAAGGATTCAGAGGATCAAAGGCTCTAAGAAGCAGAAACAATAGACGGAAGCAACAAACAAATTATGAGCTTCAAAAGTTCTCTGGTTTGTCTCCATTGGGATAATTTCTAATTCTTTGTGATTGTTTTGTTTTTATGATCAGATACAGCTTTCCTTATTTATTTATTTTGTTCATAGAAACCTCTCTGGTCTTGAGAAGACTAATTTTTCTTTTCTTTGCTCACTAACAGTAACAAAAGTACAGATGTGACACAGTTTCACACAGACAGATACACCAGTTTGCTTTTTATTTATCTTTAAAAACACTCAGGCACATACAGTTAATATAAAATTTGAACATTTTCAATTAACTTTATGTCTGTTGAAACCCAGTTCTCAAGTATTTATATTCAAGGGACAGCTCTGGTCTTTTGAAGCAGGTTTCTTTGGAAAGGTTATGAACAATCAGTATCTTACCTGCTCTAGACATCTCTTTGAATGCTTACAGTTTGGAAAATGCTTGAGGTTAGCTCAGCTGGTTTTTATTTCTTTAAGCTAAGTCGCTCAAAGAGCTATCTTAATCAGGTAAGATGTTAACTGTTCATAAACTTCACAAAACATTTCCTCAAAAAAAAGTAATTGAACTATCTCTTTAAGATAAAAAAAAAACAGTTGAAGGAACGTGACGACTTCAAGCGACACAGTTTTATCATAATATCTGTAAAACTGACTTAAATCCCTTTTCGTTTGTGCAAACGTTGATCGACTGCTGCAGCCACCTAAAGCCAGACTGACCCAGAAGTTCAGCCGTTGATTAGTTTCTGAGAGTTTTATGAAAATCTACCCAATATTTCACGAGTTATTTTGCTAACAGACTATCACTCACACAGACGCAGGTAATAACATGACACCTTTTATGGCTACAAGCTATAATTCTTCTTGAGTCACAAACAAACTCGTTTGGATTATTGTTCAAATGCAGAAAATTATGATTTTTTTTAAATTTTCTTAATCTCATGAAGCCAGTTTCTGTCCGCCCTGCTGATGTGGTGGCGTTGTCTGCACGTGCAGCGTTGACACGTTTCGGCTGCCTCATTTTGAGAGGTGTAATGGTGTAAACCGTTACCGGTTGTCGCTGAGACCCGGTCCGACAGCCTCCGAGGGCCTGCGGTGCGTTTTGGCAGCGGGGACGTGTTTGATCTCTCAGAACGTGTCTGCTGGCCCTCAGACGAGCCGTCGGATACCCAAACACAACAGACGGGCCGTGCGGATCAAACTGAAGCGGGTGAGGGCAGAGCAGAGGAGCGTGAGGCGCGGCACGTATGCACGTCTCCGGCTTCAAGCTGCAACAAGGCTCGCGGAGATAACGGCTTTTTGTAAACGTTGAAACGTTTCCCACTCCTCCTGTAACAACTAACAAGCTGACTTCATTATATTTTGTACTAAAGTGACGCTTGTTTATTTCTAAACCATAAAAATCCACCAGTATGCTTTATTTAGTCTCAGTTTGGAGACTCGGGCAGATGCTAACAGCTAACCAGTTGTCTGGCACCCTAAAACAGAACGTACCGTAAATACACGTAAATTTTGACACTGTGGATCAGAACATCTTGTGTCATAAACTCTCAGAAATCTGTTTCTCAGAACACACCATTGGTTGGTTCTCTAACTATCTCTCAGACCGGAGGCAATGTGTTCAACATAATGGTACTTCATCCAGTTATTTAACAGTCAACAATGGTGTACCACAAGGCTCAGTCTTAGGACCCACCCTATTTACAATCTACATACATAATGTAGGTAAAAACATCCCTAATGCATCCATACATTTCTATGCTGACGACACAGTTGTTTATTGTCGAGCTAAAACTGTTGCTAAGGCTTTCCAGCTTTTGAAATCTGCATTCAACTACATCCAGACAGATTTGTTTCGCCTCAAACTTGTCCTAAATGCCGACAAAACCAAAGGGATGCTTTTTTCAAATAGGAAGTTGGTCCCAGCAGTTCTTCCTCCGATTTTATCCTCAAATGGTGTCCCCATTGAGTTTGTTGATTCCTATAAATATTTGGGTATCTTGGTCGACTCACATCTCTCTTTTAAGCTCCATGTGGAAAACTTGATAAAGAAACTGGAAGTTAAACTGGTTTTCTTTTTCAGAAACAAATCCTGTCTAACCCTGAATGCTAGGAAACGCCTTGTTTCTGTGACCTTCCATCCCTCTATCAACTACGGTGACATTATTTACATGAAGGCTCCTACAAGAACCCTGCAGATGTTGGATGCTGCAGATGTTGGATGCTGTCTATCATGGTGCACTAAGATTCATAACTGGCTGTGATTATCGTACCCACCACTGCACCCAGTATTCACTGGTTAACTGGACATCAATAACTTCACGCAGACTCTCCCACTGGTACATTTTCATCTTTAAATCACTTCCTGGTCTGCTGCCTTCATACATCTCCTCCTACATGTCTCTGTGTGAGTGCAGCTACAGCGTGCACTTTCAGGACATCATTACCTGCAGTGTTCCCTCAGTGAGGACTAAACTAGGCAAAAGGGCCTTCTCCTATTCCGCTCCTGTTTCCTGGAATATCTTACAAAAAGATTTGAAGCTCTCGACCTTTGACCTCTCTAAGTGGCTTTAAGAATCTGTTGGACTCCTGGCAGGGACCAATGCTGACATGTTCCTGTTTTTAGTTTTCTACATTTGCCTTAGAATCTAGCTGGGTTTTTTTTTTTTGTTGTTGTTACCTTTTTCTTTTAGCCATCCTATTTGTAAAAAACAAAACAAAACTGCAGTATGACTTTTTATAATTGTTTATTGTTGTCGCTGTTGTCCATTGTTGTCATTTCTTTGTTGAAATCAGGTCTCTCTTGTAAATGAGTCCTAAGACAAAGAGCGCTCAACACTTTTTCAGTCTTTATAGTGAGAAACATTTCTAAATTCATCCATCCATCCATCCATTCATACATCCATACATACATACATGCATCCATCCATCCATCCATCCATCCATCCATCCTTCCATCCATCCATACATCCTTCCATCCATACATCCTTCCATACATACATGCATCCATCCATACATACATACATGCATCCATCCGTCCATACATATATCCATACATACATACATGCATCCATCCATCCATCCATCCATGCATCCATCCATACATATATCCATGCATACATACATGCATCCATCCATACATATATCCATCCATCCATACATGCATCCATCCATGCATCCATCCATACATACATACATGCATCCATCCATCCATCCATACATACATACATGCATCCATCCATCCATCCATCCATGCATCCATCCATCCATCCATCCATGCATACATACATTATCTTTTACCCCTTCTTCCTTTTTGGGTCACGAGGGTCACTGGTTCCCACGTCCAGCTATCACTGTGTGAGAGACGAGACACCCTGGACATGTCTCCAGTCCATCACAGGGACACATAGAGACAAACGAGACAAACATTCACTCTCTCATTCTCACCTAGGGACAATTTAGAGTTACCAATCAGTCTAACATGCATGTTGTTGGTCTGTGGGAGGAAACCGGAGTAACCCACGCAGCATGGAGAGAACATGCAAACTCCACCCAGACAGGTCCATGGTCGAGATTTGAACCGGCAACCTTCTCGCTGAGAGGCAACAGCTCTACCAACTGAGCCACCGTGCCGCCCTGTTTCTGATTTATTAATTTGTCTTACTTTTGAATTTTCACAGCTTGAAAGACTTTTTGTGACTTTTGTAATCAGTTTTCTTTCTTCCCCCCTTTTTAAACGGAAGTAGGAAAGCTGACGCTCAAGGTCACAAATCAAGGTCAACGTTAAAACAAGGCGGACAGCTCAAGAGAATTTAATGGAACTTGATCCTCACTTAGATGGAGCGTCGTGTACACTTTTCATCACTCAGGCTTCACGGTCACAGTCAAA